TTGATCCGGTGTGATTTCGTTGTTACCGACAATTATCTGAATGTCAAAATTCGATGCTGACACATAAACATTTGAACAGTTATTCGGAACTCTCTAATGCAACAGTTTGTTCGAATGCGATCATTCGGCATTAGCATGAAAATTCCGTGAAGCGACTTAATAACGGTTCACTCGATTTTTTGTATCAGAACAAAAAGTGCGATTTCTTTTTTGAAAGATTTTGATACCGAAACAATCAACGCTGAATGTTTGAAAAACGACAGAAACATCAGAATACAGTGCGAAATTTGTTGATCGCCTAGGAATTTCACTGGCATAATTGGATTGTGGGTCGGCAATCGCCTCCGTGCAACCAACCAACCAACCAACCATATCAGGATCATGCCAGCGTCCAGGACCTTGCGCTGGAATCAATTTGTCTTGATTGTGATCGTAATAATCGATGATTCGTTTGATCGACCACCACGATCTGGATATGTCATCGAAATTTCGCCATAAATTACAGTGCTTACCGATTAAATTGTAATCCACCTGAATGCAGCCAAATAAAGCGATAATGCTTGATTATTTTGACCGGATCAATTTGCATATTGTAGTAATTTGAAAGCGGTTTTCCTCATTCACCTCTTAAGGATAAGAGAATTCAATCGAGCGTTCTCTCTGCTCCACCTATCTGTATTCATAGATCAGTTTGGATTAAAATTCAAGTTGATTTCCTGATGAATAACTAAAGTATTGACCATTTCTGGATATGAAATCATGTACGCTGGCCAGCTACACGAATAAACAATTGGACGACGCGTCAGATTCAGTTCCTTTCCCATTTCAGCATAACCTGCAAAAATGACACATCATCCCTAGATACTACAACAATGCTATCGCAAGCAAGTCAAATGAACTAGATTGCGGAATGCTGAACTTCAAGATAACATTCCAGTGCAGAAGACACAGAAATCATGAATATTCGTATTGGTTTTACTCTGGTTGAATTGATCGCCTTTAATAAGTAATTATTTTGGATTATGGATTGCATTTGCCTGGAAATTTTGGAGAGAAGTATAGAATCTATTTGCTGATTCGGACTAGAATCAGCTTAGCCTTGCAAAAGTCAATTTTATCAAACCATTTAAAAGTGTAAAATACACTAGATTCGGAAATCATTAATCCATGATGAAAGAACACAATAGTCTCTTTGGAATCGAGT